AAAAAAAAACCAACTAAAACGCTGAATCTCAATTTTGTACATTTTGGGACGGTCGTGCCTGGCCAACACAATATTTCTTTTCATTTGGCCTAATGGAACAAGCATAATTATCGCACACAAATTATATGGTAATTACTGGTTTTCATAGTCTCCTGATGAAGTCGGAGCTAGAGAATAAATTCTATATTGTTAGCCTCAAAAGTGCTGCTGTTATTTACTTTATATTGTTATAAAACAAATTAAGTAACCAAGTCTACAGTAAATAACTATTGAACCAAAATATCGCTGTTTTAAACACCTTCACTAATTTAGATAAATGCTTTTTCACATTGTATTATTGGTACTAATTTGGTATTTTGAAGACTTGTCCATGAGAAATGATGATAAACATGAGAAATGATAGGTAAAGCTCTAAAAATTGGTACAAAGTATTTTATCGTGATGATCAAAAAGATGTAAGGAAAACATTGTGCTAATATCTATATTTTTTTACTAAAGGTAATGAAAATGGAAATATACTAACAGAATGCACCAAAACCATTTTAGAGTGATTACACCCCTTCCCCACCCCAGTTTTTAAAATTTCAAAAAATCCGTAGATTGGCTTTAATGCAACACAGAGCCTTTTCTCTGTAATTGTCTTCCATTGACAGATGAATAATCTATTTTGAAAAAAAGGTTGCCAGATGTACTGTAAGTTGGGGGAAAGAGTACCCCACTCCCCCACAACAACCTACCTGCCTGCAGCAGCAATGAAATACTATGTTCGATTAAATTAAACAAAGGGTGTATGAGCTGCTTGGAGTCCACGGCCAACCATGCTAAGTTTAAGTAGGATTGGTAAAAAAGAAAAGTATTACTTTCTTGGGGTTTTCTTTTTTAAATTTTTTTAGCGCATAGAGGTCCCTACAATATGCCCTCTATAAGTTGACCCTTATTATTATTGACATTGATTTTACTATTACACCTTGATTTCATCATCTAAGTTTTGCTACTTTGTACATTTTTATGACTACTAACACGTGCATAAATTGTTGATAATAAAACAATTTTCACATTCTCGTCTTAACTGTTACAAATGTCCATCAAAACATTTTTTGTTTATAAAAAAGAAAATTAATATTTTCTTTGTTATTGTTTTATTTAACTCTGGAAAGGTTTCGAAGAAAGGGGCTCCAAATACTAAGAGGGGACACTACAAACCTCTCCATATTTTAACCACTACCCAAGCAAGAACATCTGCACTTAAATAAAGAAAATAGTCAGGATATAAAGCAGATAACCTGATACATATCGGAACTTTTTTTTTTTTTTTTTAAATAATTAATAACACACAATACAAAGACAATCACATTAAGTATTAAGTTCTTTTTTCAGCATTGATATATACATTTAATTACATACACATCATGTATATGCAAATAAAATATATATTTATCTACACATAATACACATTACAGTATATATATATATATATATATATATATATATATACACGTGTGTGCTGTATAAATTTATATATATTATACCTATATCTACAGCATATGCACGTACACACACATACTCACACATATGTGTGTATTAAAATGACATGCCCATTGGAAAGAATGTATGTACTGTATTTCAGAAATTTTGAAATTCCAACATTTTTTAAATATTATGTGGGCATTCACAACCTAAATTTGTGTTACCTTGACATGTCTTGGCATATGAGTTCACATACAAATGCATTTTACCATTCAGCTTTTCTCCGTATTATTAAATGTTTTATGTTAAGTGTATTATTTTTGCTTTTCAACATTCCGCTAGATTGGTGTAGTTTTTCAGTTTGTAAAATGTCTGTGGCAACGAATGTCTGGGTAATGAAATGTCTGCCAACAAGGGCAGCCTATTGCCTCGATATAGTGTTGACGGTGGCAATGGAACAGGCTAGTACCAGATGAGGTAACAAAGGAGGCCGAATTGTAAAGCAATTATTGTAAATTTATTTGGGCAATGATCGGAATATAATGATGCGAAAGAGCCAACAATGCCTATAATTTATTTAATGGCAATAGTGTTTCATGCTATTATCACAAACTATTACTAAGTATTTATGACCTGGACACTCGTGGTTGCATCTTGTAGTCTTTCCATGATAATGAAGTGCATTATTTATGAAGTCAATTGTATATGTCTAAAACTATGCTTTAACAAGCAGTGTCAAGCACAAAATTCAGAAAAATAATTATTTTTAAAGATATGGTTAAAAAACAATCAATATTTTTTTCTCAAAGAATAAATTTGATTGAGATGTTTTGGATTTAACAACCTTTTCTTTCTTAAATTAATTAATATTAATTTTTAAAAATGGAAATTATAATGTTTTTGGTAGTTAAAAAAGGTTTTAGTGTTATGTTTGACATTCGACATTCGTAAATTTAGGCATTTGTACTTTAGAGATTCAAATTTGATAGATGGGTGATATATATATATATATATATATATACATATATATATATATATACACACACACAAACACACACAAATGGAGACAAATGGATAATACGACCTATAAGCTATTCTAGCTTATATGTAGCTCCACTACGTGTGAGCGTTTCAGCCTCTTGTATGAAAGTGTCTAGCGGTTAAATCTGCA